TACCTCTGATCTTATCGCATTAGCTTTACACGTGGCCCGTTTATGTTAGCACGAAAGCCTCTGTGTTGGCAATAGTTGTAATTTTCGATCATTCTGAAGTTGTGCCGTGGTTTTAACATCGGGCAACAGGACATCAGTCAACATTTTTTTTATAAACAAACCACAGGGAAGTTGTTAATATCTTAATTTAGGAAAAAAGTTTAAGAATAACAATGACAAGTCAATCAGTATTTTTATAATATACGGACTAAAAAGTATAACTAAAGTGTGTTTTTTTTTTTCATATTCTTACATTGTTATCCGATTCTGAGCTATGTTCAAAATTTGAAGTTAGTTTAAAAAAATTTCGAAATTCGCCCCGAACAGACATACACGAAAGCGAGTCAATGAAAATGTAATTACAAAAAATAAAATTCAACAAGTTTAAGAATGAATGAATTATTAACTTAAATACTACTAATATCATTTATGTAGTGTTATGATTTTTTTTATAAGTTACCGAATTTTATGAAAAATAATTTTTTTTCTTACACATTAATTTAACACATTTAGTGGCTTCTGTTGAAATAGGTAATGTTACTTGTTTAACAAGTGATGATTTATTTGGCCGCAACATTGTTACTTTTTCTATGCAGCAAAATTTTCTATTTATAATATTTTAATGTTGTAGCTGTTTGATATTTTCTTATAAAATTAAAATCGAAAAAATATTATCATTTTGTGCACCTCACAAACATCCGAGTTCTTTGAGACTGACAAGCCGCAGTTACTCTTCCTGATGGAGACTCATATCAGATGTCCTCTTGATGCAACGTACCTTGGCTACCCTGGGTACACATTAGAGCATAACTTCTATCAGCCCGCCAGAGTTCGTGAGTATGTCCCTGATGATATCTGCTGTAAGCGTCGCTGTCACCTTGAAGACGCTTTGTATACGATTTGGGTATTGGTTGACGAGGGAATACTCACATCCATCGCAGCATTTTCATTACCGTAACGCAGTGTTCCTGGGCTTGTCGGCGCTAAGGTCTCACTAAATATAAGAGGACAGGTCGGATTATGCTCTTGTACACTTACTTGACCTTTGAGCTTGAGAGGTATCTCACGATCGCAGATGACACCCGTGACCTCTTATCATTTATATTTTAAGCTGCGCTATTACTGAATACCAGCGTAAAATAGCAGCTTAATGCTGCTGTGTTTCGTATGGTGAGTGTAGAGAACCGGAGACCCTTTTTACTAGATACAAGGCATTCCATCTTAGTCCTCACGGGTGACAACGCATCTGCATTTTGATTCGTAATCGAAGATAGATGTAGATGTCTATGGGCCACAGCAACCACTTACCATCAGGTGGACTGTGTGCTCGTTTGTCACCCTTACCCTATAAAAAAAACAGGCTCTAACGTCGTAACAGAATGCACTATTATACCTAAATTAAGAAGAACTTTAAGATAATACATATAATTAAACATTTAATTGAGAGAATTAACAAGATCGTTTATTCTTGTGTCTACCAATCGAACAGCATGACCAAGCTATTTGAACACTGCACTGGTTTCTGATGTGGCCTTAAATAGGTGCTGCGCAACTAGATTTTCTGTGCGACGTCAATGACCAAAAATGTTTATTGATCCCTAGGCCCATGCATCTGCAAGTAAACTAGGTGTCTATGCTAAGCGCGGAAAATGCGCAGCTATTCCTTGAGGTGCCCGCACTCAACATAAAAATACATTTCAGGTCTTTGTTTTTTTTTTCGTGCGTATATTATTATACATATTATTCTGCTTTGGACAGTTTATATTTTCTTGTATCACTGACTGCTGTCTTATTTGTCCTACATTTGTTCGTCAGAATTGATTATTCGATAATCACACGTAGGTACCTACTTATACTGGTGACCGCATTGTCGTTATCTTAATATAATTCAAAGTCATTCTTAACTATATTGCCCAACTTAGTGTGTATTTTAAATTAAAAAAAAATTGTAAAAATAAACAAAAATACAAACAAAAATAAAAAAGTAGCAGCATATATATCCCGTTGGGAGTCACGCCTCTTCTCGTAATCTGCTCTAATGAATGTTAGTATGTTAGTGGATTTTCCATGTCATTAAAATATTTTAAGTTTTTCGGATTACCAGGTTTCCTCACGATGTTTTTTCACCGCTGAGCACGCAGTTAAAACAGTGTTGGAATAGCGAGCTTCCTGTTCCTGAGATCTGTAGAAAAAAAACATAGTGTGACTGCTGCGCTATTCTATAATCAAAATATTTAAGATGAGTTCATGTTATATTTTATAAGTACATAACTAGCTGCAGTACATAACTAGTAATTCATCAAAACTTCTTCGTAATCGGCTGAACTCGAACTGATTAAAATACAGGCAAACGTTTGCATGATTATTATTTTTCATGTTTAAAACAATTATAAATACACACTGCAGCGTCCAGTTGTATCTTGTATTGTTGCAACAGGCGACTGGCGAGTTACTTTTTATGTTTTAAACACGTTTAACACACTGCTAAATATGGTATTAAAGATAACATCACTCACATGAAAGGCCGTTGCCGTTGTGGATCAGGGATCTAAGCGCTCGCCGTAAATTTCATAGTACCTGATAGAAAATGTGAATAACAATTTTAGGTGCCGTACCACGTGTTCGGCGGTAAAGGAAAACATCGTGAGGAAATCTGCATGTCTGAAGAATTAAAAAAGAATTTATTTTGTTGTCACTTTTGAGGAATAAGATGGAATGTCTTGTTTCTAGTAAAAAGGGTCTCTCGTTCTCTCTACATTCAACTTACGAAGCTGCTATTTTACGGGCGTGTTTTTTTTTTGTATTTAGGAGAGCGTGGTCCTTCCACGAGCCGACATATTCGTGCTAAAGCCATAATATAGCTGAGCGTGATAAAAAATATTAATAAACTAATATAATAAATCCCGTTATTTATAAAGTTTGCATTATACATATATGCTAGAATTTTTGATTTTGGGTTTTGTTTTCAATTAGTCGCCTTTTCGGTAATTCTGTACAAATTTTATTAATTGTCTTATTTCCAACAATCAGTCCTTTTCTTTTATTAATTAACTCTTGATCAATCTTCCGTTTTAAAATGGAACTAATTATACTAATAGTTTTTAACTTTTTCGTTAATTTAAAGAAATTGGCAATCAGCTTTCTATTACCACGGATAAACTTAGTCGCTAGGTAAAGCAAAAATAAGGATAACAGCTGATAAACAAATTAAGAGAAAAGAATGAAAAAAATCCTAGTGGGTACGAGTAGTATCAAGAACAATATTTTTAAATATATGTACTTATATTTTATTTATGATCGGTGCTTTTATCGGAGAAGGAATTGTCAAACTATCATAACTGTCTGTGATCCTATTATTTTACAAAATCTTTGCAAGTTAACCAACATGTAAGCGGTGTTATTATTTATTTTAACGCAAAACAACATAATGTCTGAAAATCAAACATATTTATAACTAATTTAGCATAGATTTATTAGTTAACGTTTTTCTTTAACTTAGATATAATAGTACATTCTGTTACGACGTTAGAGCCCGTAATAGCGTAGCTTAAAGTATAAATGATAAGAGGTCACGGGTGTCATCTGCGATCGTGAGATACCTCTCAAGCTCAAAGGTCAAGTAAGTGTACAAGAGCATAATCCGACCTGTCCTCTTATATTTAGTGATACCTTAGCGCCGACAAGCCCAGGAACACCGCGTTACGGTAATGAAAATGCTGCGATAGATGTGAGTAACAAGTATACGGGGCGGTCTCAAGAGTACGTGATCTAGCGAATAAGCTGCAGAAAAGTCAGCTATGTTGGCACGGACACGTCCTACGTAAGCCGATAGAGAGAGTACATTTGAAGTTGTCTTGATACGGTTGTGGTAGGAACAAGACCACATGGCGGACCCAAAAAGCGCTGTCTCGACGTCGTGAGGTCGGATATCAGAGTTAGTGGGCTCACTACTGAGAACGCTTTAGACCGGGCAAAGTGGAAACGGGTGAGAAGAAAAGCGAACCCTGGCAGAAGCCAGGATAACACATAAAAGAAAAACAGGAGATTTCAACAACTCCTGTTTTTCTTTTAAACTCTCTTTAAAACCCTCTAACTAACTTGTTGTATTGTATTTACGTACCTACGTCAACAACACAAAGCTGCGAACGTAGGTGTAATTTAAATACAATAATGACAATAGCGTGTGCGTATTTTAGCAACGTTCAATTAATGTTGATGCCGTAACTTTATGGTACATAATATAACTGACATAATTTACGGCTTAACATTTAAAATGTATAATGCTGGAGGACAAACCGAATATCGGTCACGGCGGCCAGTCTCAACGGAGACCAGTCATCTACAAACAACTGTATTATAGTGTACGCGTATGTGTACAGGCACAGGTGCACTCTCTATTTCTTCACTCGTATAGTCCAATGGGATGGCTTTTGACACGACTGGAGAGAGATTGGATGCAAGACCAACGGCTTAATATGCTTTCCAAAGCCTGGGGATGAACCATCGCGTACTACTCCAGGCTCCTACTGAGAATTTCTCGACAAAATCATAATAACTTTTTTTCGAATTTAACACGGAAGCACGTGATCGTCAGTTGCGTTGTTGTAATACAAGCGTGTAAGTGCTATAAGTCGTTTTTTTACTGCTATACTAAAATGAGTACCTACACTGTTTTACAATAGTTTAATAATGCCCCCATTGAAAGTTCATAGACCTGACATACTATTATAAACTGTCGTGTCGGCTCTTATCTTTTGTCCTGTACTGCTAGATGAAATCATCATATATATTGCGCATCAAGAATATGCAGGATACGTTATTAGCGCTGATTACATTTGCGAGCTTGCGGCCAGCGAAAAGGGGTGAGTTTCAGATAAGTATTATCAGCAGACAGCGCCGAAACCATTGGCCCCACCAACACGGCGCGTTGGAAGTTGGATGGTTGGTATAGTCATTCAGTCAGTAGCAATCATAGCGGCGCGCGCCACGCTCGTACGCAAACGCGCACACGCAAACCGCAGTGAAAGTCGCACGCGCGGTCCCGCTACGAATTCGTGTGTTCGGCATCTTCGTCTAGTTGTTTTTGTTTGTTTTGTTGCGCCAGTGCAACGGGGAAAGGAGGTCGATGCGTGGCCATAGCCCGTAAGACCAGTGCTATGTGATTTGCGACGAAATTAATTTCCTTGTTTGTGTGGCAAAACCTTTCCTGTGTAGTTCGTAAGAATAGGAATTTTACGTGTAAACATTAACTCACTGGCGTTTTAATAGTATTATGATTGAATGATCTTAAACTTCATTATCCTAATACGCTCTTGGAAATGAGAGGAGGTCTGTGCCCAGCTGTGGGACTTTTACAGACTGTTACTTTTTAGCTTTTAATCTGAAACTCATCTCATAGTGGTTTTCCAAGGCTGTTTATTTGATTTTTCATGTACACGTTTTTTTTTTAACTACCTTCATTTGGAAACACATTAACTGCATTAAATTACTCTAATTATCAGTTACATTGTTTGAAGGTGCTACGAAGGTCTACGGATTCTGTAGAGAAGAAACAAGCGCAAAGACAAAACGAAATCGTACAAATTGTTATATCTCTTACTTTTTTTGTATATAATAAACTTCTAATCACAGGTACCAAAGCCCTCTATGTGCCGGTAAACTAGGTCACGAAACGCGAATAAGAAGTGAAGTAACAAATAAGCACTTATGCAGCATTATTTGATTGCATGTGAAATAGTGAAGAAACAATATACAATTAAATTTGAATTACTTTGTGTTTTAAGTAGGTACTTAGTGTTCTCATAAAAACTCATAAAAACATCAATAATTTAACTAAAGCCAGTTACTCCAGTTGAGGAGTTTTCTTCATTCTCACGATATGATCCTGAAAATTTACTTTTGCAAATTTTCTCAGTGGCAAGAAGTAATACTTGATGTTAGAGATGGTTTATTACACTCGTGAAAATTCGACAAAAAATTCAAAATATTTTGCAGTTCCCTAGTTAAACAGATAAAAATATTAAAGGTCAAGCCAGATAAAGCTTTCAATATTAAAATCAAGCGTTAAGAAATATTGATTGCAGAGAAAAAATTAAATGTTATTTGTTCTCAAATATCATTGTTAATTAATTTGGTGTTGCTTTTCAACCATTTGTCAAACTTGGTAACAAAATTTACCTCTTAATTAAAAAAAATAACTGCTCAGGGATTAACAAATCATCAAAGAAAATGTAGATCCAACCTTATTTATTAGAAATATGAGTGACCCGTTACAAAAACATGAATTGATAATTTTCTTACCGCTTCTCGCAATACTATATCGGAATAAATATTCAAATATTAGTGTTTTTTTTTTTGCTTTGTTCTCTGGTGATCAATGATTGCTGATATTTATTCATTTTTCAACAACTTTCATTTTATAAAGGAAAACATGTCATGTTGATTGGTGTACGTAACGTAAAGTGAGAAAGTTCCCATTTTTGTTATCGCTGTTGCTTGTCTAAATAAATTTACCCTTCTACGCTTTGTACAAAATAATAAATCAAATGTAATTTTAATTTGTAACATGAATAAAAAAATTGTTACTGTTTATTAAGGTAAGCAGACATTCTTTTAACAAAGTAACGTGTTAACATCACACCACACCAAATAAAAAAAAAAGTTATTCATGTCATATGGTCATGCAAATAATGCTCAATATAAAGCTATTTCGATATTACAGACAGACACTTAAATTTCATTTTTTTGTATTTATTATAGTATATAGACGTATACCTATTCTGATAACAAAAGACGACCCATAAAAAATAATTAAAATTTGTTTGAAAGAGAAACATAATATTTACGTACGTACTCGTAAGTACATCTATTTAAAGTAATGCTCATATTTCTTTGCGTTATGTTAGATAATTTGCAAAGAATTATTAATAATGGCTGTCTTATCTACAAAGTACAAAAGCTGTTTACATGGTTAAGCTAATGCATGGTTTATTACTTAACAAGTTATCTATTGAAAAATTGAACATTGCATGAAAACATCAGTTTAAGTCGCGATTAATGCAAATCTCTCTTTTTTTTCCTATTTTAAATTATAATAATGGTTGTATTCGACCTGAAAGATAACTCTGACGCATATTTTCGTATAAAGCAAGGGCGGGATTGTCTTCGCTCTAAAAACCTTCATTAAAATTATGATTTTGCTTCGTAGTGCACTAAATAAAGCCGCAATTTTCTGCAAACAATCTGCTCACATCGTTACGATATCGCCCTTGAAAAAACCCTAAAACATAAAGTTTCGACGCAAATCGCTTATTCCCTCTTAATCTTAACGGGAGAGGCCTATGTACAGCAGTGAACGTTTACGAGCTAATGAACAAGTGACGAAATTATTTAATTTGTAAACTGAATTTACAATGAGCATGGCGATGGATACAGGCTTCATAGTTACAGATTAAGGCATTATTCGGCAAGATAGAGTTCGCGACGACTCAATGTCATTGAAAGTCACTTGACGCCATTATGCAAGTCCACAGTGCTTCGAAATCCGACACGACCCACATTCCTAGAGTTAGACTGTAACTTGAACGTTCTTACTATCTACTCATGGTTATCAGGTTAGGTTGTTTCATGGTTGTAGTTATGTTATTTTATTGGTCGGTTTACATTAGCGAATCCGTTCGTTAATCTATTTATCACGTTATACGTTTTTATTTAATACATTTTACGTGTTGTTTTTGTTAGTATCATAAGCGTGGATTATTAACTTTTATTGCTCTTTGATAATATTTAGATATATAGCTTTGAGCGCTTGCCAAACGTGTAACTAAGTGCAAAATTTCCTCTATGAGGTAATCTATGTGGGAGGACTATGTTCAGCACAGACTTTTGATAGGTCGTAATGATGATGATGATGATACGTTTGAGATTTTGTTTATTTAAGACATACTTTTGCCAATCATCTGCTGCTCATGGATCTTTACCTTATGCCCCTTAACTCGCAACTGATATTTTGTCTTTAGTTACAGTATATTGTAGTATAATAGCTAAAGTCCGATAAAGGATCATCTACTAGGTGGCAGGACTCCTTTTCTGCTTATCGCTCCGTGTGGGAGCCACCACCCTCTTACATAATATTTCTGGCGTTAAATAGCAGTGCGTGCGCTGCTGTGTCCTCGTCTGAAAGATTAAGATTGCCGGTACTATTACGGATGTGAGGCATTAAATCTTAGTCCGAAATTGGTTCCAGTTATCCGTGAGTTGCTCGGGTACTCATTTAGGTGGACTATAAGTTTATTTGTCACTTCATTTTTATTTAAAAAATGTAAAAGTTCGGAAATTAAAACAAAATCTTGAAAGAGATTAGTTTATGTTCGTGCCATTTAGTAGTCTATTCTGTTAAGCATTTGCGTTTGTCTTTGAAAACTCCAATATGATTTAAAATACTTTAGTATCAGAACTGTTATTTTTTTAACGAGCATTTGCTTGTTAATCTCTATTCAAGTTCAAAATCAAACAACTCGGTAACTAAAGTATCTGCAAGGTAGCGTTTAAAGACTTAATGTTGTTTGAGGATGACTTTTAAATTTAACTTATATCAGTCGAATATTTTATGTTAACCACAATGTTAGAAAAATCATCACTTCACATCTCCAGTCAGTTTAGGTCCACTATTGGACATGGACTTTTCCAAGAATGCGCCAGCTGGCAAGCATTGCTTGGGAGATTCTCAGAAGGGCACATTCTCAGGATTCTCAGCACGCTGGGCTGGAATTTTAGCGCGGAGCCGATAGTCTCGCATCTTTAATCCTACCCTATCACCAAATATGGCTTTTGGATTCGGTATTTTCATATTGATATACCATGTGTTTGCCTTGTTCGGATATATAGCATTTGGTCCACTCGTTACACCATAAAAATTAAATTTAAATTTGAACTTAAAATTAGTGGTGATTATATGGACAAACATCAGTCTATAATTAATTATGTAAATACGTTGCATAGATATCTAATTTCAAAAATTCCATCCCTAAGAGTGAGAAAAATAAGAGATGAAGATTTAAATTCACATATTTAAACGACATTCTAGTTGTTAACAAGAAATTTTGATATTTCTTAGACCACTCGAAGGGTAAATAATTTAATATTAAAAATTTTGTAGAACCGACTTCAATATAAATTATTAGGAATAACTCAAAAACTATTCGTTAGACCTTGATCAAATTTATATGGGACCACATGAGAAGTACCAGCTTTCAAATAAAAAAAAGGAGGAAGGAAATCGGTTTACCCAGAAAAAAGTTATGAGGTGAAGTCGATAGTGAAGCCCAACCTCTCCTTCAAAAACTAAAGAAAATAAAATGACTTTCCCATCATAGCTTTTAACATAATTATTTATATCTTGAACATATGGCACCTACATAAATTAATATAATTTCATGAGTATTATAGTATATTACACTTATTAACTTATAATGTACAGCAATTATTCTAGTTTACATAATGCATCCATATAAAGTTTCATTTGAGCTAACTAATAACATTATGTTCTATTTCAAATGCTTATTGGTCGTGTCAATGCATACCGCGGCCGCAAAGGTCGATCTCCTGTCGACCTCTATCCAACAGTGTCACGGGAATTCGATTCCAACGTACGCCACTGATTTATGACCAACGCGAAATGTTAAATCCGTTTTATTTTTATTTACATTTATCATTAATTATAATGACATTGTCTGAATTTTATTATCATTCAATAAAGGTGCATTTAATAAAATGTTAAAGAGTAGATGTAATTAGTCAGATAATCGATCTAAAAGTAATAAGTTAATTATCTATGATTAAAAACAACGAATCCCTTTACAGAGATCTATCGTCGTTACCTTGTTTATCAACCTGTAAAAGTCCACCGCAGAACCTATGCCGTTATATAACATTTGCACGCCACCAATTACCAATATGGAGTAAACAACACAATAAACTTCCATGTATTGAAAGCCCGAAGGTTTTTCCAGCATTTTCCATAGTCGCATCTTACGACACCTATGGGATTAAATTATTAATAATAACATAAACATTTATAATTATACAATATATTTCGAATCTACTCATTAATACCTTTCATGCGATGCCATATACGATTTGTT